TAGGAGTTTATAGAAGAGTCTTCCCGTGGCTGCAGAAGGAACAGCTGTCTTGTGATGCAGAAGAGGGGGAAGAATGAATCAAGTTTGTACCACCTCATTTTGAGACCATGCCTAGCCACTTTGGAAGACTGAGAACTACAGGTTGTGTCCTGCATTAGAAAGGATGGTGACACACAGTAATCTATCTCCAAAAACAAATGTCATTACAATTCTGCCACAGTCTTGGTGGCCATGCTTCTAAACTCCTTTGGGAAGCACAGCTTTCCCCATCCCCGCAGCAGAGAGCTCAATGTAAGTAGCTGTTAGAATACATTGAGTTGCAAGCAAAAGAATATGGTTTATTGTAGAATAACCCACAAACATAACAGGAAACCCAAATGTGTAGCTCAATAATGTTAGCAATGACATTTTATCTTTTTTCTATCTTCAACATGTCAACTATGCTTTTGGGGGGCTCAAAAAAATGACTTCTATACTTTCAAGAATTCCATCCTTGATCAGGAAAGAAGAGCAAAAGAGATTCTCTCCTTAGGCCAAACAAACATTTATCAGTAAGAAAAATCAAGAGTTTCCTTTCCAGGTCATTGCCCAGGTCTACTTCATATGTCAACCACTACCCCAATTTCTAGAAAGTGCAAAAGTACAACCATAGTTGACTGAAAGCCAGAGCCACCACAGTTGACCCTGGACCCAAGCACACTGCTGTCCAAACAGGCTCTGAGCTCAGTTGATAAAGAAAAAATGGAGCACATGTTGAATAGACAACCAGCAGTGTACACCAAGGAGGGTATGAAGTTAGAATTTTCTGTATGTTGATGGGGGAAAAGTTGTCTGTGTGTTGAGGTAAATACTCATTCAACTAAAAGATATGGGCATAAAAATATACAAGGGCCTTATCAAAGGAATCAATATTGTCCTCAGTTTGCAAGGGCAACTTGGATATACCTAAGGGGGAAAATCAATGGTCTGTCTCTTATCAGCATTTTCATTCTGTTTAACTAACAGAAAAGTTCTATTCTCTCAGGCTCCTTTCAAGTACTTAGGTTTGGATTACATTTACTCTGTCCCAGCTAACTCCATGGTGGAGCTTGGATAAACCTAGCAGAACACTGTTACTTTATCAGTTCTACCCTATCAACCACATGTGAGTTTCCCCACTCCGGTAACAGAACTTCCAAGGGTAGGGTATAAATGAATCTATCCTGACTCTTTCCTCAAAGAATCACAGAAGCATCACTCCCATTTGTATGTTACAATTGCTCCATCCTACACTACTCTACTTCATTCTAATACTAGAAACAACAAGTCTTGGTACTTTCACATGGTTTTTAAATAAGTTTAGGCAATATGTCTAAATCATCTTTTTTATTGTTTCAACCATCATAAGAAATGACAAAGCGTCATTATGGTTGATCCCTGGATAAAGTGCAGTTGTTTGATTGGAATCTAGAACTTACCATTGCCATAGGAAGCGTTGCTAAGAAATATGGAGCTATCCTGGATGCTTTGTCCTCAATTACAAGTTATAAGGCAACAAAGCAAAAAGAAAAGGATTTCCACAGTTTCATTCCATGTTATATCTGAGTAATCACTTATACCTTTTAGTAGTGAGAATTAGGTTAAAATCTAAGTAACTAAAAAAGTAGAAATTCACTGTTATTAGTCATTAACACATTACTACAAATCAGTTTGTAAAATTAGCAAGTCAGTTATTTAGTTAGTGTAGAGAAACAGAGGCTAAGGAAAAACAAAAAGCCTATTCAAGTTGTTTTACTGTTGAGCCTGATGATGGTCTTAGAATACAGAACGCTGGTCTAAAGTCCAATGAACACTACCCTGCTTTGCTAGATGCTATCATTGGTTTGTATGGATTCTCCAAAGATCCATGTGTTAGAATCTTGGTCCCCAGTGTGGGACTATTAAGGGGTTGGGAAAGCTTTAAGGAATGGAGCTTAGTGCAAGTTATTTAGGTATAGTCCCCTGGAGATGATCCCCTCAGCAAGAATTGATATTGGTATTGCAAAGCAAGTTGGTTGTGCTCTCAAGAGTATTAAACAGCAAGCCTGGCCCCTAAATGTCTCCGACTTCCTGCATGACTATATGATCCCTCTTTCTTTCATTCTTGCTATCATGCCATCCACAAGAGCGCCTCACCAGATGCCAAACAAATCACTTTGTTCAATCTTGGATTTCAATCTCCAAAACTGTAAGGTAATGAGCCTCTTTTCCTTACATTATCCAGACTCAGGTGTTTTGTTACAACAACAAGACATTGACTGAGGCATTGTACATCCTCTTTGGGATTAAAGGCCTCTGTGCTCATCTCCCCACACTCAATTCAAAATACGTCTTCTGCAATCTAAGAGGTATTATTTACATCTACTGTTCATGATGATTATCTGTTTATATACATTATTATCTGTAGATAGTGTTTGTATATATGCATTATGTACCCCATGAGAATAAGAACCATAAACAAAAGTCATGCAGTTCATTTTTATAATTTATTTTCAGGAGGGTCTTCTTTCTCATGGTGTCATATGTGGTCCCTTCCTATATGTATGTTAGAATATATTTATAAATTGATGAGATGTGTTATAATAAAAAAACTCTTCCTGCCTGCTAATTTTAATTATCTGTGTCTTATTCCTTCTATTTCTTTAGCAACAAACTTAAGGTCACACGGAAATGATGGTTTAAATTGTGGGACATAGTAAACAGAAAGAATACAAAATTTCTTTTCTACGCATTTCAAACTGTGATGTATGAACACACACACGCACATGCACACACACATATTATGGAATGAGAAAACATGAAAATGATCTTGGCTTCCTTTTCCTCATTCTTGAAATAGGGTCGTAGGGTAAGAATTCCTAAAGTGCATCTCCACACACACCTCAGACTCAGAGTATAGACCCTGTGTGGCTTTCAGGAAAACATGAGCTGCTCCCACCAGTGGTTAGAAAGGCTGGACTTGTCCTTTCCTTCTGTCACACAGTCTGCTGCTACGGCAAAGTGAAAAATGCTAAAATTCAAGAGGAGGACCCTACTGTCGAGGGATAAAATAATTTCTCAGACTCATTCTGAGGTAAAATTTTCCAACTTTTTTGGATCAAGATTTTAATTTCAGTTATTACTCAAAAGTTCTGAAGCATGATTCACCCTGGATAGCACTCATTTTGTGATTACAGTTCATACATAGGGCTCTGTTTTTTAATTCAGTCTCTGTCTCTCAGCTCTGTACTTCCAGCAAACGGCAAACCTCATTCCAAAGGTATAAATGCTCCTCTAGGCCTTAATCCCTTCTGTGTAATGGGGCATTTGTTTCTCTTCAGTGAACAGTAAACCTGTAATTCCCTTTAATCCTAAGTGAGGTTTAAAGAGTAGGGATTTCAGTTATTCACTCTCCCACCTACCTGCTATGGGATTTTCGTAGTCACATAAGACCCTCCAGAATTTTTACAAATCCCAGAATATGTATCTAGTTACTCCCCACAATGATGTGACAAATGGAGTTCAGAGTCTGGGTCAACTCCATCATCTATCAGCTTCTGAAAGGAGGTTAGATTCACCTGGAAGGTGTGATTGGCTGATACCTGATCATGCTCAACCCAATTCTAAAACATTTATGGTTAGAATTGATAAAGAAATTATATATGCAGTGAAATATATAAAGACGGATATGGCTATAGTTAGTATACATAGGGAGAAAAGCTTTTTCTGGTAAAATGCTTTCCTCTTATCTAAGCTGACAAAGAAGTCCCAATATAAGGAAACATGATAATCATTTAGCAGATGACAAGTGTGTTTTTTATAGAGAGCATCCACAGTGGGGAAATAAGAACAGCAAAAGAAGAAAAAAAAAACAGTGCTTAAAAATGTCCTTTGCTGGCCGGCGCCGCGGCTCACTAGGCTAATCATCCGCCTTGTGGCGCCTGCACACCGGGTTCTAGCCCCGGTCAGGGCGCCGGATTCTGTCCCAGTTACCCCTCTTCCAGTCCAGCTCTCTGCTGTGGCCCGGGAGTGCAGTGGAGGATGGCCCAAGTGCTTGGGCCCTGCACCCCATGGGAGACCAGGATAAGTACCTGGCTCATTGGATCAGCACCGCGCCGGCCGCGGCGGCCTTTGGAGAGTGAACCAACTGCAAAGGAAGACCTTTCTCTCTGTCTCTCTCTCTCTCTCTCTCTCTCTCTCTCACTGTTCACTCTGCCTGTCAAAAAAAAAAAAAAAATGTCCTTTGCCCTTGGCAAACTTTATAAGCAAAATGTCACTCAGTTTTTAAATAACATTTCTAGACCAAACACATTTTTTACAAGTCTATTCCAAGCATGAATTAACTCAGAGCTGAAAAATTTTAAATCCTAAAACCATGCAAAATTTCCACTCCTTTGGGGGCCACGAGGCTTAGATATTTGGAAACCATGTGTTTTCCTTATCTAGTCAATCAAATAAAGACCTTTGTGAGACTTCTGATTTGATCACTGCACAAATTTACTTTTCTGATTATGATGCTTGAGTATTTGAATGATGTGTGAAATTTCTTCCCTGGTGACTTCATATTATAGCTCTCAAGTAATGCTTCCACTAAATTCTTCAATGAAAAGAATGCTTCATTTTAATTTAAATGTTATTCTATGAGAGTGTTTCATTTAAAAAAATGTTCCAAAATAATTAATAATGCCAGTGAGATATTAAGATGAAAATGTATTTCCTCAATAATAAAATAATCTATTTTTATTTTATAGATATGAATGAAATACTCATTGCTTATAGGTACTAAGATTTAATTATAGTGAAGCACAGCTCACGGGAGAAAATGGGGTTATTGTAACTGTAGGAGAAGACAGAGTTTGCTTTTCAATTTCCTGCTCTAACTGTTGATTGATTTCTCTTGGTACACTACTAGACATGCAAGAGATTCCTACTTGGGTATGAGTTAATATCATCACCTTGAATGTACTTCTGTCAGTGTTTTCACAAAATCTTTTTTTTAATAGAAATTGTCTGAAATTTCTAAGCATCTTTACTTACTACACATGAAGACAAGAGGGGAAGAGGACGTGAAGATACATAGATGAATAGACAGGTGGGTGAGGAGCTAGGTGGTATGATTTTAATAGCTGTTGTCTCAGCAGTGGTTTTCTTCTTCATATTACTTGTTGAAGTCTGTACATAGCGTACAGATTAATCTTATGGGTATAAAGTTAATTGAAATGGACCTTTTAAAAAATAAGAATGGGAATAGGAGAGTGAGGAGGAAGAAGGATGGGAGCATAGACATGAGGAAGGGTGGAGTGGAAATTATCACTATGTTCCTGAATCTGTACTATTAAATTTGTATACCTTAAATAAACTTTTTTCAAAAGTTCATGAAAACAAAGAAGAAACTCAAAGAGGAAAAAAAGAGTAAGTTGTGCTTGAATAGAGCCAAGATAGCAGTTAGGAAGTAAAACAAGCAAAGAGATCATTTCTGGCTCAAGATGAGTATCGGGATTCTTTGATTTAATCACTCTGTTCTTAAATCTCTGTGAGTGAGATCCCAGTGGAACGAACAGGTCATCAAAGAAGGAGGTAACTTTCTCTGAAGGGAGGAGAGATCTTCCACTTTGATTATGGCCTTGTCTAAATAAGGTCGGAGACTATGAACTCAAGAGGCTTCCATAGCCTTGGCAGCTCATGACAAGAGCCTCAGGTGATCACTGACATCATAAATAAGAATGTCAATTATTAAATCAACAACAGGAGTCAATGTGCACTTACTCACCAAGTAGGATCTCTGTCCTTAACGTGTTGTACTATGCAAATTAACGGTAAAACTAATACTCAAACAGTACTTTACACTTTGTGTTTCTGTGTGGGTGCAAACTGTTGAAATATTTACTTAGTATATACTAAGTTGGTCTTCTGTATATACAGATAATTAAAAATGAATCTTCATGAAGAATGGGATGGGAGAGGGAGTAGGAAATGGGTGGTTATGGGGGGGGACCGCTATAATCCAAAAGTTATACTTTCAAAAATTCATATTTATTTATTTTTTTAATTTTTATTTAATGAATATAAATTTCCAAAGTACAGCTTATGGATTACAATGACTCCCCCCCCATAACTTCCCTCCCACCCGCAACCCTCCCCTTTCCCACTCCCTCTCCCCTTCCATTCACATCAAGATTCATTTTCAATTCTCTTTCTGTACGGAAGACCTGTTTAGGATTTGTTTAAGTTAAGATTTCAAAGAGTCCGCTCGCACACGGAAACATCAAGGGAGAAATACTGTCTGCGGGTTCGTTATATTAATTGCTTACCAGGAACGGAGCTTTAAGGACAGAGATCCTACATGAGGAGTAAGTGCACAGTGACTCCTGTTGTTGACTTAACAAATTGACACTCTTGTTTATGGCATCAGTAATCACCCTAGGCTCTTGTCATGAGTTGACAAGGCTATGGAAGCCTTTTGAGTTCACTGACTCTGATCATATTTAGACAACATCGTAGTCAAAGTGGAAGTTCTCTCCTCCCTTCAGAGAAAGGGACCTCCTTCTTTGATGACCTGTTCTTTCCACTGGAATCTTACTCGCGGAGATCTTTCATTAAATAAAAGTTTTAAAAAACTGCCAATAGAGAAGTAGCCAAAATAATAAGGTATGCAGGAAATGCAAGTGGATCCAGGAAACAATGGGAAAGTACCCTGTTTGCTTAGAGACATTGGGGATTTTTGCAAGATGTGGTGTAGGAAAGACAGAAATAAGAGAAGAACCAACATGCTGGTGAATTGATGCTTACAAAGAAAACAACTGCTGAGAATAACAAAGTGACTCTTGACCAAACAATCATAAGCACTTTGAATTGGAACAAAATGATTTGTATAAAAGAATGAACAAAATAATATGTATTGGCACATTTGGATCCAAAAAAAATCACTAAGAAAAGTGTTGGATACTGAATCTCACTAGGAAATACAATAATAATAATAACAAAATCAAAAGCAGCTAGTACTTAAAACAGTACTGTGGACAAGTTGAGTGTTGTATAGATATTAATAATTTATAACAACACATCTGTCAAGGAGATGCTTTGTTATGCAACTTTAAGGATTTGGAGAAACTGAGTCAAAGAGAGGTTAACTTATCATGACAAATTCTCAGAAGGTGATATTATCATCTTGTATACAAATAGACTCAACTGAAACTACCAAGGACTTGGCTCTAACTGTATATAAGCTATTTAGTTGATTTTCTGTAATAAGCACAATGTTAGAAAATAGAGAAAAGAGTCCCTGTATGATAACAATTGGCACATAAATACATAAAAATAAACTTAGTGAGAATATACAGAATTAAAAATGAAACTACAATTTTATCAAAGAACATAAAGAATGTTATGAATAATTGGAAAGAAATAACACCCACTTAATGAAAATATTTGATTTTATAATGTTGTCTGTTCTTCTTGTTTGTCCACTATTAATTGTACCACTCATGATAATCTGAATTTGGTTTTGAGAGGAAAGATAGTATTTAATGTAAGTATTTAATTTTATTTTTAATTACAAAAATAATAAACAATGATATAACCCACTGCTAATAATTCATGCCTTATAGGAATTCACCTTACTCTTGATATCACAGTCATCTGAGGTGGAGAGACTGAAAACATGAGCTCCTGGAATCCCAGAAATGGCAGGAAAGGACTTGAGGATTTCTAACCTATAGGTCCTGGATAATTACACAGCTCATCAATGCCACATAACTCAAACTGAGTTTTAGAGTCATATTCGTTTTTAATTTGGTGTGTACTTTTCTTTGTACACAGAATATCCAAAGGTAGAGCAAATGGCTGCTGGGTAAAGAACTCCGGTGATCATCTGTGCACAGAGATGCACATGTGAACACTATTCACACACAAACTCACTTTCAGAAGTTATTGAAGCCAGGTGAGAGACCATAGTGCCTGGTTTTAGTACAAGCATAAGAACAGATGCCTTGAATGAAGGAAGGAGTTCTGTGCCATGCCTCCCTCAGCTCCAAGTAGCATTGTATGGAGAGAAATGACCTCACCTCCAACTTGGGATAGGAAATATGGGTTAAGTCCAGATCATCGACTTGAAATCCAGTACCAGGCCCACACAGACTGAGTTTTTGCATTATTTTGAGCAGAAGGCTTAAAAGGAACTACCACCTCCCACCCCACCACCATTGTCACTATCAAACTCCAGCAGAAAGCAGGGCAAGACTAGCCACTGGAACGTAGGCCAAAAAAGGCAAGTTAGGCTCTTGCCTTGGTGTTCAGAGTCAAAACCCTGCTGGGAGACCTAGAAACTCAAATACACAAAGACCTCTACTCCCAGGTCAATGCTCAGAGGTAGAGTTTTGGGGTTGCCCTAGCATCAGGCAGAGATGGAATTACCTTATCATTTAAGGCCACCAGCCTCATGTGTCCTGTCACGCACCTCTAAGATTATGCAGGGCTTGGTGACTGTGGGACCTACATGGAACCCAGCTAAGTGCCAGCTTGGGTGATAAAGGGGCTGCCTTTATTACCTCTACACCAGCCTTGGGCAGACAGCCACGAACCACAGGGAAGTGCAGGTAAAATGCAACATCAGAAGGAAAGATCTTAATGTCCTGTCTATAGGCCAGTATCTGGAAGTGGAAGGTCTGGATCTGCTCTGATGCCAAGTGTAGCTCTGACCCTTGTTTGTCACATTTGTGTTTCAGCCAACCTGACTCATGGCTAATTGCAGTAGCCTCCAGCTGTGAGTGTACATCTGCAGTAGACAGACCGCAGTATTATGGTCTTAGAACGTACCTTTCTGCTGCACTATTCTCGGTGGTCTACGGGCTCTGGGTGTGACCTAGCATTGCAACATTGGTTGTCACAACACTGGATATCTTAGTCCACAGCACTAGACTCAGGGGAGACTTGGAAAGATAGACTACCCTTTTTTGACAACTCCCTGGTTCATTCTGAGCAGCATACCAGCTGCTGATTAAGAACAAATATGAACCCCATAGTGACAATAGTGACAGTGCAATTGGCAGCACTCGTAACAAATCTCAACTTAGGGCACCACGTAGTTCTGAAGTGACAGAAGTGTCTATAGGCTCAGAGAAAACAGAAGACTTTTTAGAGCTTCTTAAGGGCAGCCACAAACAAAGTCACATTGGGAAGACTGGGGAAGATAACCAATCTTATCACTGTGCAGATGCAGTCACACACTAATAACCATCAAAAACTCTCAGGGAGCCATGACTTCACCTAATGAACAACATAAGGTATCAGAAATCGGTCACCTAGAATCTATTGTCAAATGTTCAAATGAACAATTTAAACAACCTGTAAAAGGAAACTCAGTGAACTTGAAGCAAATACAGAAAAGCAATTTAATACTCGGAAAGACTCGACCAAGAGATAGAAATAATTTTTAAAAGTTAAATAGTAACCCTTCAACTGAAAAGTGTACTGTGTGAAATTTGAGCTGCAGTAGGAGATATCAGTACCAGAACAGATAAAACCGAAGAAGGAATCAGAGCTTGAAGACAGGCTGTTTGAGAATACATACAAGAGAAAAGGGAAAATAGAATCAAGAGGAAAGAAGGACTCTCACAAAAACTTGTGGAAAACACAAATTAAAGTAAATATCTGAGTAATTTTGGATCTAGAGAGTTTGAGAATGCCAAAAGGGTAGAAAGCATGTTCAAACCTGTAATAATAGAAAGCTTCTCAATCCCAGAGAAAGATAAACGTATGAGGTACAGAAAGGTCAGTCATCAGTCTAAAACCTATGATAATAAACTGTCCAATTTTAAAGACAAAGTGAAGATTCTAAAAGCTGTTAGGAAAAAAATAACACACCATTGGGTCCCAGTTCAGCTGACCGATGACTTTTCATAAGAAACATTGTGGCAAGGAAGAGTAGGATGAGACTTTAAAGACACTGAAGGAAAAAATACCAAGCCAGGAATATTGTACCCAGTAAAACTGTCCTTCAGATGTGAAGAATGTCTTAAAAGACATTCCCAGACAAACATAAGCTGAGAGAATGTACCACCACCAGACCAATCTTCAAAAATTTCCGAAGGGGAATGTTCAAACTGAAAGGGATGCGAACAAGCAAGAACATATCAGAAAGGTGAAAACTCACTGTTAACCGTAGCTGTGCTGATAAAATATTTAAATGTAGTAAACATGGTGAATAGACCATTTATATCTTTAGTATAAATACTAAGAAGCAAAATTATTGACATAGTAACTACATGACTATTACGAGACAGGCATTAAAGAAAGATGCAAATGAGACATCAAAAGTCAAAATGTGAGGAAGAAAAAATGGTAAGTCTAGAATTATTTGCATTTCTTATCTCTCTTTATTTTTCTATCTTTATAATCAATATAATCAACATCAATTTGCTATGATTTCAAAATAGTTTGATAGCCAAAATATTTTTTTCAAACGTCATGGTGAGTACAAAGAAAGTCTGTAACAGTGATACCAAAAATAATAGGAAAGAAATTGAAGCAAACTGCAAAAACCACTTAGCCACAAAGAAACATTGTAAGGGAGGAGAAAGCAAGAAAAGAACAACAATAAAATTAAAAACCAAATATCAAAGGGGCAGTACTAAGACTACTTATTAATAATTATGGTAAATGTAAACAGATTAGATTTTCTAACAAAATGATATGGAGTGACCCATAGGGGGAACAACAGACTTAACAATACGCTGCTTGAAAGAAACTCACTTCACCTACAGAAACACACATGACTTAAAGTGAAAGGACTGAACAATATATTTCATGCAAAAGGAACACAAAATAAAGCAGAAGTAGCCCTACATAGATCAGATAAAATAGATTTTAAAAGGCCATTATATAATGATAAAGCATTCAATCCAGTAAGAGGAAATAATAACTATAAATATATATATGAGCCCAGTATAGGAGCAGCCACATATACAAAGCAAATATTTTGAAAACAAATATTAAAACATAAAGGGAGAGAGAGCAAAATATGATAATTACAGAGGACTTCAATAATCCATTTTAGGAAGAGATAGAACATTCAAACAGAAAATCAACCAATAATTGAGAGAGTTAAGTTGCATTCCAGATCACTTGGAAGCACAGATACAGCCTGCAGAAAGCCCATACAACATTTTCTAGGACAGACTGTCAGGGAGGTGATAAAACTAGTCTTATCAACTAAAAATCATATCAGGATTAAGAGTCAAAGGGGTCACATAAACAAGACTAGTGTCTGCTAATACTAACTGATAGAATTAAAAAGGAGAGAACGATCCAACATGGGAAGTGAGATACACAGCAGACCCATAGAATGGCGGATGTCCTAAACAGCGCTCAGGCCTCAGAATAAGCCCTTAAGGCATTCGGATCTGGCTGAAGAGCCCATGAGAGTATTTTAGGTATGGAAAGCCAAGACACTCTGGCAAAAAAAAAAAAAAAAAAACAAACCCTAAATGAAAGATCTCTGCGAGTGAGATCCCAGTGGAAAGAATGGGCCATCAAAGGAGGTACCTTTCTCTGAAGGGAGGAGAGAACTTCCACTTTGACTATGACCGTGTCTAAATAAGATTGGAGTCTATGAACTCAAGAGGCTTCCATAGCCTTGGCAGCTCATGACAAGAGCCTAGGGTGATTACTGATGCCATAAACAAGAGTGTTAATTTGTTAAGTCAACAACAGGAGTCACTGTGCACTTACTCCTCATGTAGGATCTCTGTCCTTAATGTGCTGTACATTGAGATTTAATGCTATAACTAGTACTCAAACAGTACTTTACACTTTACGTTTCTGTGTGGGTTCAAACTTAATATATGCTAAAATGATCTCCTGTATATAAAGAGAATTGAAAATGAATCTTGATGTGAATGGAAGGGGAGAGGGAGCGGGAAAGGGGAGGGTTGCGGGTGGGAGGGAAGTTATGGGGGGGGGAAGCCACTGTAATACATAAGCTGTACTTTGGAAATTTATATTTATTAAATAAAAGTTAAAAAACAACTGATGCTGCAGAAATACAAAGTATCATTAAGAACTGTTGTGAACAAGTATATGCCAAGAGATTGGAAAATTCATTTAGTTTCCTATGCCTCTTGCCATTCCTTACTATTCCCTTATGTTTAACAACTTGGCTGCCTTGGTTCATTCTTGAGGGTAGGTTGTTTTGTTTTGTTTTGTTTTAACAAATTAAAGCCTGAGTCTCAGCTCTTAGCATTTGTAGTGTGATGACTTAAGTGGCCTCATACTGTGGGTGGAGTAGAAGCTTTATTTACCTTTCTATTAAGATTCAGAACAAGTTGTAATTAGCCACCACCCCCCTTACACACCCCAACTGATTACTTTATGAGCTTGTAAACTCTGATATTAGACTCCATTTACTGAGGAATAATTAACAATATAGCTCTATTTGATTTCCCAAAGGTTAATTCAGGACCCTGATTCTTAAAATCCTTCACGATTAGTTTGGAAATTAACCAAACTTCAACGTCAGTTTCCACTCATCTTTGCTAATTCAATGGATCATTTGATTGTTGAAAGATTTTCAAAGCCCTAAAAAGACCCATAAATACTAGAGGAGTTAAAAAAGATAATAAGGGCAATGAAGGTATAATTCCTATGGAACAAAAGCTATTTGTATAGTCTTATGGGAAAACGAAATATTTTTTGCTGTATTTTCTTTTAAGTGAAGAATAAAAGTGACTGGCAGAGTAAATTCATTGAAAAGGACCAGCCAAACCCAGGTGGCAGGTGAGTCTCTCACAGATACTTGTTTGATTTGTAGGTTTATAAATTATAGCCTGTTCACCTCCATCATCATTTTCAAAGTCATGGTCAGCACATCTAAGATACAGATCACAAATTTCCACATAGAATCATGAGCAATCAGAGACTTAGAGTACATTTTGCATTTTTGTTTGTTTGTTTGTTTTTTCTGTTTGTTTGCTAAGATTGGAGTCCTATGTGCTCATAGCAGGTGACAAAAATGGTCTGTGGAAGCTCAGCAGACCAACTCTTGCCTCCTTTATTCCATCTTTCCCCATTATAGATATGAAGTTTGTAACAGATACATATTTCTCAGTCTCTAGTATTTATCATCCTTATTCCGTAATTTTTTATAAAAATTGTATCCCAGTCTATATACTAATCTGAATAAAGCTTGTTGATTTGACTCTCTTTAAAATTGTGTCAAGTGACATACATGAATGCAACTATCCTAGCATCCTATGGAAAGCCAACTAGAAGCTGAGGAACAGAGTGTTTGGATGGAGGAAAAATCTTAGACCAAATCAGAACTATGACTTCATTTTCTCCTTACATTGATTTTTTCCAGGATGCTCTTTATGGGCAAAATAGTCCATCAAAAGACATGCCTGAGTTCTACAGCAAGTACAGCTGTGACCACTTTTACGCATTATATCAGTTTTCATTTAGACCTTTGTGGCATATTCATTAAGCACTTAGTATGTGTCAGGCACAATGGAAGGTATGGGAGACATAGCCAAGATCTAGGGTGATTAAAAACTTTGTCTAACAGAACTTACATATCTGTTTAGGAGCTAGACAATTGTGAAGTGTGCAAAAAGTCAAAAATAAAGCATGTGGTTAGGATAAGAAGGGAATGAAAAGGGCCCCCTGGTCAATAACATCTTTAGTGGGTGGAGGCTCAGAAAAAGCCTCTCATGGGTAAGCATCCCATGCCACACTGGAGCACCTGGTTTCAATCCCAAGCTCCAGCTCCTGACTCCAGTTTGCTGCTAGTGCAAACTCCGGATTCCTTCTACACACGAAAGACCTAGACTGCATTCTCAACTTCGGGCTGCGGTTTCCACCTAGCCCAAGCCATTCTGAGAGGGAGCATTCTATCTATCATCTATGTCTATGTATCTATCTATCTTTCTACCTATCTATGTGTGTTTGTGTCGGCTTCTCATGTTAATTAATTAATGAAATTCAAAAAAAAGCATCTTGAGAAAGATGATATTAAACCTGAGACCTGAAGAATTAGAAAAAGAGCTATTCACACTATTCTAACAAACTTCAGTAGTGCCACTCTTTATTAAAAATGAATTCATTAGAGAAATACCAATGCAAAACAGGTAACAGAGACATAAGAGATGCATTCTAGTAGAAGTTAGGTAGGGCTTCACCCTTGCTCACTCAGCTGCTCTTTTAACCACCTGTATCCCCAAGGTCCAAGATCCTCTTGGAGTCCTTTTTTCTAGTAAAAGAGTTATTGACTTGCCTCAATAAATAGGCCTAAAAATAATGATCCAGAGAGCCTGTGTGTGGCATAGCAGGTTAAGCCACATATTGGATCTCTGATTCAAGTCCCAGCTACTCCACTTCCAATCCACTCCCTGCTAAGAACCTGGGAAATCAGTGGATCATGGCACAAGTACTTGCATCAGTGTCATCCATGTGAGAGATCTGAATGTAGCTACTGGCTCCTGGCTTCAGCCTGACCCACCCCAGCTGTTGCCATCATCTGGGGAGTGAACCAGTGGATGGAAGATCTGTTTCTCTATGCCTCTCCCTCTGTCACTCCGAATTTCAAATAAATAACAATAAATATTTTTTAAATAAGCTAAAGAACTCTGTAGAACACTTCTTGAAAATCACTGACCTGGGTGAAACTAATAAGCAATTGCTCTGTGTTGTGCTGCACTGTTAATTGGACATGGAGACATATATTTTTACAGCTGAGCCTATGCTTAGCACTAATATGAATTTCGGTCTTTCCATTTTTTAACTTGAAATGGCAGATACACACAGCCCAGCAATCATGTTTGCTATGTGATTTCCTATAGTTCTAGGCTCTATTTCTTAACTAGAATGATGAATACCTGTACTAATATTAGATCATTAGCTGTTATGTGGAATCTTCTTAATCATATCTAAATAGAGTCAACCATTATTCAACATTGAGAGCTTAAGACGTCCCCCTGGACATTAGTTTGGACATAATGGGAGAAGGCTTCCATGCCCTCTGCTTTTTTTTTTTAAATTTATTCCTATTCTGTACTGTATGAAACTAACAAGAATGAAATATGTCTAAAAAGAAAAGTACTTAATTTATATTGGTTACAGTTATTATTGCTAATTAGTAATGGTAGGAATATCCAAGCATGATTCAAAGAATAACATAATTAAATCACTCCTACTATGTTGTTGGAAGCACTATTTTCATATGTGAAATATCTAACCATTTACTGCACAGTGTCATTTAAATGCAGACTTGCGGACAAGCTTCTAGAGTTTTCTTATAACACCCAATCAAACTATATTTCATTTGTACTGAACATTTTTTAAAGTCATGAATGATTCAAGTCCATCAAGTGCAGGATAACTAAAGATGCACAATTTTTTTTTTTCTTTAGGATCACTGGAATTTAAATAAGACAGAGTGCTTTGGTAAACCTATTATAAAAAGATCATAAAAGCATCATATTTCAAATGTCAGAAAGAGCTAATGTTCCCCTGGTGAAATCCAAATAAACGTAAGCCATTTCCAGCTTTGATCTCTGGCTTAATTTTACTAGAACTCCATTTTAACAGCCTGTGCCTAGCATTTTAAAGACCAAGTTGCTAGTCACCATATCTAAGTTGCAACATAAAAGAGAGTGAAATGAATTAAATCACTATTCCACTTGATAAATACTCAAGGTCAGGTATACTTGTGAAGGAAAAGTTGTGTACAGTGAGTTGACAGCAAAGGAAGGAACAGTTTTTTAAAGTTTATATATGTATGTTTATAAAATATATATGTATGTTTATATATGTACGTATGTAAAAAGTTTTTATATGTAGCAAAGCTACAAAAAGAAAGAAATAGAAACAGAAAGAGTCTTCTTTCTCCAGGGCTGGTGCATGCTGATGCCAGGAGCCCAGAATTCCATCTAGGTTTCCTACATGGGTGGCCTTGACCCAAGTACTTGAGCCTTCAACTGCCACCTCCCATTAGTAGGAAGCTGGATTGAAAGCAAATCCATGTCATGAACACAGGCACTTCAATATGGGATGTGATTGTCTCATGAGGCAGCCACAATGCCCATCTGAAAAACAGATTTGTAATAAGCAGGAGTTGGAGTTGTAGGAACATAGATTTCTACTAGCATTTCTCTTTATTTTAATGTCTATCCTCTCAGTTAGTTGATTCACCAGTTAGAGGACTCCAAAGTGCATGAATTCATATCCTAACTTCACCATTTAAAAATGGTGTGACTTTGTACAAATTCCTTTCTTTGCTCAAAACCTCTTTTTCATCATTGGTGTGATGCAGATCAGACTTAATTCTGCATAAAATACTAACCACATAAATAATGTTCATAAGTTCTCATAATTATTATAAGGCAAATAATCTTGGGGGGTATGTTATGAAAGTCACTAAGAAAGCTTGTAGATACATAAACATGCATAGAAGAGTCTAGATTTTCAAAAGACTACTAAATACTGAGTTTCTACATCACTATTTAGGATGGGTTAACAGATATTCTCGCCTATGTCAAAACCCTATGGGTGTTCCACAGCTTCTCATCTGTCCAGAGTTTAGGAAGCCAGAGTTATCTGGAGTTTACAGCCACCAATGGATATATAGCCTGCCTCGGGCTTCAGTGGACACAAAATGGCCTCATTGCTGAGTAACTACCTGGCTGGTATCGTTTTCTTCCTGGTCATGCAGGGTGCTGCATCTTTCACTTGGAGTTTACTCTTCCAGAACCCCCAAGTGAGCAAATTAGACACGTTTTCTGGTTGTGATGTGTTGAGTAGACATGGGAGACAAACTGACACAGGGATGTGACAGCAACTTCTCTACTCTACTTGCTATTTAATCTCTCCCATTTGGTTTTTGAAGAGGAAACTTAAAATGTTTCCTTGAAAACCTTGGCCACTCTTAGTGGTTGATACAGGACGATTTCATGCAGATGGGGTCTCAGAGTGTAGCATCTGGATAGAGCTTCACAGGGTTGAGTTTTAGACCAACTTTCCTGTAGGTCTTTCTTCAAGTTTCTGAAAAAGCAACCACTTGATAGTTTTTCACTGTTTTGGTGTCATTAGTGTAGGTATTAATTTACCTCAACAAACAACCCCCCAAAGTGATTTTGGTAGGTTTTCTTAAGCAAATGGGAGGAGACAGATGGTGACCCAAATTCTACTATCTTTTCCTATTGCCATGATATTGCCTTGAAAAGTCCAGGAGGCAACTGACATCTCCTGCTGATGGCTTTCATTCCCCTTGTCTTCTCTGGCTGTGACCTCAGGCTTCTGGAGGGCACCAAATCTCACTCACACTTGCCTCCTTGCATCTTTGCCCTCTTTCGTCTGTGTGCTAAGACAGACACAGAAATCAACCCCTCTCTCAATCCCTCCAAAAGTGCTCAACCAAGATATTTAGTGTATAGCAGATTTTACTAAAGAATAGAAGACAAGCATGTTATGTGCTACAGATATTCAAACACCAAAATCCAATATAATCTTCCCTTTAGAAAATTGCTTATTGACTCTTTACATTAAATGTGTTCTAAACTGTGGCTGTGTTAGCTGTTGTCTCTCTTCCCTTTCTACCATCCCCTGTGCTCTTCTCCTCTTCTACTCTCTCATTGCTTCCTAAGTCTTAAAAATGTAAACCACTCATGCCACTTATTATTCAAACAGGCAACTTTCTGAAATCCTACCACCAAAGTATTCCTTTGTCCTTTGACTATCTAAACCTTGTTTTGTGCTCTACTAAACAATAAACTGTGTACACTAGACAGGAAACACAGCAATATAAGGATTTATTTTTCATTTATTGTGAGTTATGCCACCTTCTCCTTTGAAAGTGGATGCATGTCTATTCATCTTGAGGTTTTAGTTAATTTCTTTTTCCTTTTTAACACCTGATGTTGAATTGTTTTCACTTTGATTTGATCTTGAGTCTCAAGAAAGTACTAATGCATTTATAAATTTTTTAAACTTTTAATATATTTTATTATTTCAAAGAGAGAGAGAGAGAGAGACATAAAGAACAAATCTCCCATCTGCTCATTTATTCCCTGCATGCCCACAACAGCTGGGACTGGGCCAGGTTGAAGTGAGGAACTAGAAAGCAAATCAAGTCTCTCCTTGGGCGGGAGGATCCAAACTACTTTAGTCAGCTATACTCTGTTCCAGGGTGTGCATTAACAGGAAGCAGGAATCAGGAGTAGAGCTTGGACTAGAATGCAGGTACACTGATACAGGATGTAGGTACCTCAAACAGCATTTTAACCACTAGGTCAAATACCACCCCTCCCACATTTATGGATTTTACAATTGGTCACACATTGTAGTGTGGAGTAGTTGGGAAAAAAGAAAGCTGTATGTTTATCCACAAATAAATATGATCTCTATTCAATGTTATGCTGCTTTAGTAGACTTGCTAGAATCAAATCCTTGGTCCACTGCACATTGCATATACAACATGAGATCAAACTTTTATATTCTAGGAACTTCAGTTACCTCTTCAGTGATGTTGATAAAAAGAACCCACAAGTCTATTGTGAGGTTTAAGTGAAGTGCAATAGCCAAATGGTATAGATGTTCAACACATGGAGATGAGTAGCTCACAGGTCCTCAAGGTGTTGGTCTAAGTTATATCAGTGAGGTAGCCTGGCTGTCAGCTCTTAGTGTCTGTCAGCCACCAAATAGCCTACAGGAACTGTCTACCCATTGTGAACCTTCTGGAAAATGACTCTCACTTACTCAGCAGTGCCTTATACTAAATGAGACACAGTTAAACAGGACATTCAGTTTACCTAGGAACAGAGCCATCCCACAGAGATTTCTGCCATCCCCAAACTTCAGAATATCCCTTATTAATCAGACAAACTCCTTCATACTGATTCAATTCCTTAGGAAAAAAATTAAAAAGAAAAAAAAAAACAGAAATTCTTCCTGACCCTCCTACTGTACCCACTTCACAGCCCTGAGGGGAGTGGAGATTTTTTTTTTTTTTTTTTTGAACAGGCAGAGTGGACAGTGAGAGACAGACAGAGAGAAAGGTCTTCCTTTTTCCGTTAGTTCAACCCACAATGGCCGCTTCGGCAGGCACACTGCAACCGGTGCACCGTGCTGATCCAAAGCCAGGAGCCAGGTGCTTCTCCTGGTCTCCCATGCGGGTGCAGGGCCCAAGGACTTGGACCATCCTCCACTGCACTCCCGGGCCATAGCAGAGAGCTGGACTGGAAGAGGAGCGACCAAAACAGAATCCGGCGCCCCCACCGGCACTAGAACCGGGGGTGCCGGTGCCACAGGTGGAGGATTAGCCTATTGAGCCGTGGCACCAGCCGTGGAGATGCTTTTTAAGATCCTATTCCCTATTTGACCACTTTCCCCTAAATTTCCTTTTCCCAGGGAGAAACCCATCCTTCGCCTCATCCAACACATCTTCTCAGGTACTGGCCTGGCTCTCCTGCTAGAGCTGGGTGACATCCATTCAAATAATTCTTACAGCACTTTACCCACAAGGAGCACAACATTTCAAAGAATAGAGTTCCGTGTGGCATGAAGCTCTGTTGCCAAGATAGAATTGAAGCTCTTGCTTGATTGTAGCAGTTAACGCCTAAAGAAATTGGGCTTGAGCATACCCATGGTGGCCAAATCAACTCAGGATTCTTGACCACAGCCCTATAGAAATAAAAGCTGCGTCCAAGACCCACTTGTCTCTTTGTTGAACAGCACTTGATATCGCAGAATACACCTGCTTCACTCTTTCATCCTCTAAGATTAGCACAGTGCTGGGCCATGTTAGATGCAAGGTCAATGCTTGCATAAAAGATGTTTTAAAATATGATCTTCTCAGGTTTGAGCCTAAAGGCCTAAATTGTAACAAATTTATTCCTTTTCACGAACTGTCCTTCAAATAATTATGGAAAACTCTAAGCTTACTTCATTCAGTGCAGACATTGGCTACAATTACACCACACATGCACACACACTCACACACAGACACATACAGGTACATTATCACATATTTTATAATATTGTGTGCATAAATCCATCATATTTACTCATATTCACACATACACATAAATCCATTTTATCTGTCTTGTATATGCTATATATTCCTTAATAACTTTATTGTACATTGAATAACTAAAAACTAATAAAATAGAAAGTGTGATTTTTTTAATAAAATAGAACTCATTTGATGTGAAGATTTACCTTCAATATAGTTTTAATGTATTAAATAATATAATTTAGCATCATATAGGCATTCAATAATATTTGCTTAGCTTTAACAAATTTGAATAAAATCATTTACAATCTTAAATTTGAGTAACCTTTAAGATAAGGAATATCCAATGTCTGAAAAATAAGAGAATGCTTTCATGAATCAAGGATGCCTGTGAATTATTTCTGCTGTAAGATTTAGGCTATAAGTATATTAAATATACTTTTTTTTTCTTTTTATTTCAGAGGTTGTTCAAGGATGTGAAAAACGAAAAGATAAACTCTACTGAGTTTACTTTGGCTTGTCAGTTGATGCTGTGACTTGGAAGGAGGAAAGTGTCACAAATCATAAAAAAAATTGTATTTGACAATAAGGTATCAAATCAGGTCAAATGGAGGGGAAAACTGTATTTTGAGGGGATACTATGATTTATTTCCAAAACATGACCCTGGGCCTTTTTTAGTGTTTGTGGGAGATGTCTATTGCATTGCTCAACAGATTTAAGAAAGTTTTCAGTGAGGTGATGGAGCACCAATAATTATGGGATTGTTAAATAAATGTTCAGAAATAGAGAGGGGCACCCTTTACCAGGAAGCAGCCTGCTTTGGTATGTCGGAGGGTAGATCTGGATCTCAATGGTGAGGCATGACAGAGGCGGGCTGTGATGTTTTCTGGGCCACAAACAAAATCATTTACGCTGTTGTCACAGGTAGAACAGTTGACCAAATTATCCAGTGTGGAAATTAAATACCCATCATTTTCTACATACCAGATAAATTTGATTTTTAATCTCATTTCTGCCACTTCATAGCCTGTGACCTTGGGCAAGTTGCTTAATGCCACTGAGCTTCATTTTCCTAGTATGTGGAATGGGAATAACACGCTTACCGAATTGAATTGTGAAGGGACACAAACACTCATACCGCAGCAGTTGCTTTGTTAGGGAGATGGTTATGAATGTGTCTCTGGGCCCTATAAATAGATTCAGGGATGGGTTGTTTGTGCAATGGGGAGGAAACCAGAGGCAGGAGTAGGGCTCAGTATTCAGTGGGAACGTAACAGGAGAGAGGACGCACCAGACAGGTGAGGAAGGAAACATATTGACCAGATTCCCTTTCTTACTTTTTAAGAATTTATATAGAGGGGAGGAAACAAATTCATGCATTTCCTATAGACAGTTTGAACAGTGTAAGGCTGCTGCAAAACACACCAAACACCGGAGTTAAGGGAAAGGTTTATTGTCAGGTAGGGGAAGCCCGATGGGCTGGGGAGAGAGGTAAGAGAGTCAAGAGGGCAAGAGAGTGAGAGAGAGAGGACTCAGGAGAGAGAGAGAGCAAGACAGCATTAGAGACAGAGCACGTGTTCGGGAACAGGTCCTGTTAAACCTTTGCAGGGGGCAAGTAGAGAAATAGAAGCAGCAAATCCCATTAGGGTGGGGGTGGAGCTGACACCTGTAGTTGGGCCATCTGGTCACCTGGCTTTTAGCATTGGCAGAAGGGGCCAGAGCCTAAGATGGTGTCCGGGGCATAGATGGCAACACAGTTAAGACTGTGCCATTTTACTAACCAACAGCATAGTGATACTTCCCACCCTGCACTCCCTCCATCCTTCACTAAATCCCCCGATAAATTCCCACAGCTGTGGTAGTTCGATTTTCCTCGGAAATATAGTCTGAATCTTATCTTCTCACTATCTCCTCTCACCAAAGTCAACTGCAACATAAGTAGTAGAAGCTAAGAATAATAATAGCCATTTCTCCAGCATGGACCCAGAGTAAACAACAAATGCTCCCTTCTTGGGGAACAATTACATTGGAACCATAATTATGGTCACCTAACTTTCAGAGTTAAGGTTGTATCTGGAATGTCTAGGAGCATTGTTCTAATTCTATGTGGTTCCTGGCTGGGTAGGAAAGGTGCATCCTTTTCACATTAATTCATATTTCCATAGGATGTACTTCTGTTTATAGAGAGTAACCTTATGGTGCCTGTCCACGGCCTTTGCAACATGAAAGAATCCACTGAGTATAGAGGTCTTGTCCTGCTCTTCCAAGGCCATGTTGAATTACAAAATATATTCAACTCTACTAACCAGAATTGAGAAAATGTCAACATAATGTAGGTAATCATTTAAGTATGCCATTATTGACTTCAAGGCAATTGCCTTCTCCTTTACCATAAGAATATCAACCAGGATACATAAAAATACAGGAGAGTAAGATTGTTTACAAGAGATTACTTGGTTTTCTTTTCTTCCTTTTCCATGGAATCACCCACCAGTCCATGCCAAAAGGATCTCAGATGGGCATATATTTTCTTGCTTGCATCTTTATCTTCTCCCTGCCCAGTGCTCTCGGCCTTTTAAGCCTCTCCCCTCCACTAAGGGCTCTAAGTATCTACCAAGGAACTTCTACTGATATTCCTAAAGGCACTGAGACTCTACTGTATTCCTCAAATTCCAGTTGGTAAGGGGCAGCCTTTATGCCCCTCAACTTCTTCCTACAGGAACCCACCAAATAACATTGCTTTTCTTCATGGATTCTGGCCACGTTCTGGGGGTTGTTATGCTAACAGGGTGAATTTATCCTGTTTTACCAGTGACTGCTGGGTCTGGAGATAAGAAAAACAGAGGAGGGAACTCTTCTTTCCATACTGTATGACAAGGCACTGTCATAATTATATTTTCTAGGTCATAGTTAGAAATCACTGAAAAATCACCTATAAGCATTCTGTTCCTATTATGCTGAGATATGATGTTGGATTTTTAGTTTTTCTATTGTTAATGTTTGGAGAAGCCTGCCTCCATAATGAGAGGATTAGAAGATGGAGACCCTCTAGGTTAGAAGTGTAGTGCCTATAAGAGCATACTCTTCACATTTAATAACGTGTTCTTTCCCAAGCATTATTTGTCTTCTGCACCTTTGCCAGTCACCCTGAGAGTCACTGTCTACTTTGCAAAACTTATAATGAAAGTGAATGGCAACTAGCGGTAGGCAAAATAATCCACATTTTGGAATCGTAACTAAAGTAGAAGGGCTTCACCGATATTTGTCAACACACATTGAGTCTTGGACAAGAAAAAAAAAACACCCAATCCATTGTCATAATAATCAGCAGCAATGAAAATTCCTTAAGCCTGTTTCTTTCCATGCCTGAGCTCTCCTAGCTCACAAAGAACCTGCTTTCTTTCCTTACAAAACCTCTACATTGGTTTTTCAGGCCAGAGAATACAGTTTGTACCTTTGTGTTGTGCCCTACAAAACCAGGGAGCAGTGACCTACAGCCCCTGGGCTGGAACTGGAGTTCTTTAAACTGCAGATAATAAGTTGTAGTAGTTAAGAAGGTGAGGGGAGACAGAGTTGAACTTTAGCTGTGATTTTCCCAGCATGTGTTTGCAAAAGCTCTCAGGGGCCACCACGTGAAGGTCTTACTGCAGCTGGAATTCACTGACACAGAAAGCAAAATCTTCAGAACTTTCTATATTGAACCTGATGAGGTACCAGTCAGTAATATCATGCCTAAGAAGTTCAGAGCACCTCAGGAGCCTTACTAATGAATTGCAGCCTCCTTCTTACAGAATTTCTTATAGGTCATTATACTCAATGGTGTGTGACTCTGTTAAGGAAATGTATTGTACTAGGTTGGGTCCATGAGCAGAAAACAAAACATATATACTGGTGAGTGGCTGAAGGTTGCAATATCACAATACCTATATACCTTACTGTGGTCTTTGGTGGCTAGCCAAACCAATTATATTCTTTCTCTTAAAGAGTGAGAATACAGAGCCATAAATGAAGCAACACCGAGAGTAACAATATAATGTCTAACATAAACAAAAAGTAACAGGATTTCCTAAGCTAAAAGAATTTATTGAAGGGATATTGGGGTCCCCAAGATGATTGGATCCATGATAATGAGCTTAGAAAACAGGCAAACACCCAGAGATCTCTGAAAAACTGGACAGCAGAAGCATGTGGCAACTCAGAAGTGACCTCCAATCATCTACAATAGGAAGTGTAAGATTCAACAACTCCAGGCTCATGAACTGACTATATCAGATGCTTACTCCATGACTACCCAGGTAGAGAATGGTATAGACTGGGGGCGGCTGTGGCATAGGGGGTAAAGCTGCCGTCTGCAGTGCCAGCATCCTATATGGACTCCAGTTCAAGGCCTGGCTGCTTCACTTCCAATCCAGCTCTCTGCTATGGCCTGGGAAAGCAGTAGACGATGGCCCAAGTTCTTGAGCCCCTGCACCCATGTGGGAGACCCAGAAGAAGATCCTGGCTCCTGGCTTCGAATAAACTCAGCTCTGGCCATCGCGGTCATCTGGGGAGTGAACCAGTGGATGGAAGACCTGCCTCTCTCTGCCTCTCCTTCTCTCTCTGTGTAACTCTGACTTTCAAGTAAATAAATAAATAATTTTTTTAAAAAAAGAATGGTATAGACTGGCCTCAATGGTCTTTGCAATGGGAGTTGTATCATAGCCCCTTTGATGATGATATACATTGGAAGGTTTCCCCAAAAAGAGATATCTAAGTGCCGTTGGGAAAAGAGATTGGAACCTCAGTGCACTGCAAATATTTCAAATGCTCATTCTAGTCATTATTTCTGCTGCCTAATCTGCACAGTCATATATTTCTTCCTAAGCCTACATGAAAATCAAAACTAAAAGCCCTGCTGTCTACATGATGCCATGTCCCTCACATTTCAGTAAATTGCTTAACCCTTTTTGAATATTGATTCCAGTCAAATTTTCTTGAACTATTTGATGTAACTCTGAGTTGAGGACTTGTCATTCATTAATTCTCTATGATCATCATAATCAATCCTATTTTAATAGTCACTACATTTCCTATATCTAATGGAAGGACAATTGAAGAAGGAAAACAAGAGACGTCAAAAACCTATAAACATATAATTAACCATTAAGGAAGGGAGTATGTGTGACAAATACAGTCTTTATTTCTGAAATTATCATTAGCTGTGTTTATGATGTCCGTCTTCTCTCTGAAGTTAACATTAACCCCAGATGGTCAGGGTCTTTAGCCTATTAAACTATCAATTTAATTTCTGATAGATCTTCTCCTTAGATGACCCAGAATATTTTCAGCTGCCTAATTCAATATTATATTTGCCACATTTCCTAAGAGAAGCATTTTTCACTTAAGTACTAAAACATCCAAACCAATGGAGTCAATTTGCATGCTGAATAAAGCTCAAAGCTAGGAACTGCTTCTTAAAAGAAGGTGACACACTTGTGGAAGGGTATAGCTTTGTTCTAAAAATAGGAATCTTTGTCTGGAATGCAGCTGTGATGACTCAAGCAACTGGGTTCCTGCCACCCACATGGGAGATCTGGACTGAATTCTGGTTCCTCTTCCCAGTTCCCCTGTCAGCCCTGGCCGTTGTGGAATTTGGGGTGTAAACCAGTAGTAAATGAGGATTCTCTCTGTCTTTATCTATCTCTCTAACTCTCAAATATTAAAAAAAAAAAAAAAACTAAAATAGAAACATGGGTCTTCTCCTATGGTTTCCCTATGGAAGACTGCTGTAAGGAATCATAACCTGGCAAAGAATCATAACCTGGCACAAACTCTTCAAACGACATTGAAGGATTATAAGTATGTCATATTCTAGCCCTGCTAAAAATTTCTCTTACTTGAGAATCTTAAAATGAAGAGAACTTTGCGTTTCCTAAAAAATGTCTTGAGAATCAAATGCAAATGCAGTTTATATTACTTCCAAAATCTAAATAAGACCACCTCATTCCTGGGTGTAGACCACAAGCTGATGTTTTTTTTTTTTTTTTTAATTTCAGACAAGATATTCCAAAATGTACCAGGATATTAAAATTGCATAAATTTCACTGAGAAATTTATTTCTTTCCTCATTACCAAGCATCTTAGGTACTAAAAATACTTTTTTCCCAAGTGCTATTAACATGATGTCATCAAAATGTGGTATTGGGAAAGCTAAAGCTTCTATTGCTGCAATTGAAGTCCAAAATTGGGAGGCTGATACAGGTTAAACATCTGTCCAGTGAAAGCAAATTCCCATTATGTCCAGATTATAAGAACAA